CGTCCACAACAACGACGAACTTTGACGAAGCTGCTTCCACCATCTATTTTGTTCAAAACCGACCGCAAAAGGAAGGAAGGAACTAGATTGAGAATAAGCAAGGAAAGCAAACTGCGTACTTTCTCACGAAGAAGAGCTCCTCCCCTTCCCTTGACAAGATTAAGATCGGGGTCGACCTCGTCCGCACCATCAATCGCGAGGTCTATCTGCACGAAACGCTCGAGTAGTAAGTGGACGTTGTTGCTTCACAATCTTGGAACAACCTTTGGATGATCATCGAGAACCGAGAGCGGTATTCCGAGTGAAGCCGCTTGCTCAGCAGTTCTCTACACCATTTACACGCACTGGTGAACATCGGAGAGTGATTCTCTTCCCCAAACCTTTGACGTGGGAACTCCAACAATGTTCTTGAGCTTTCCAGACTGAGTAAGTCATTCCAGCCCGTGAGAGCTGTAGAAACATGGAAACGATCGTACCTTCATGAGTTCTCCCAGCTTTGCAACTACAAACGCAGCCGTGGAGCCCGTGCCAAGTCCCAAAACCATTCCACTCTCCACGTACTCGATCGCCTGCATTGCAAAGAAGAAAAGAAAACTTAGAGCTCGAAGTGGAAGAAGAACAAGAATGGAGAAAAGCACGGGAGGAAGGAACGAGAGCGAGACCTTATCAGCAGCCATGGCCTTGAGCTCATCTTGCGTGAGAACTTTGGCTGCTACATTCATCAAACCATTTTCGCAATGCAAGCTTAGAACATATAGAAAAGAAGTCCACTAAAAAGAATAGTTCCAGGGCTGCGCGAAGAGAATTTGGACGAGAGAGGGCAAATGCGAGTGACTAGCATCTACTGCTCTCACCAGAGGCAACGATTGCTCCCATAGAAGTGGACCTTCTCCTCCCGCCGGCGATCCCCCGTGTTCTAGCCCACGAGAATCTGGAGATTCCGGGGGCGAAGCTCCTCCCGCAGCGGCTCCAATCGATCGCGTCCCGGGGCGCGCACGGCGCCACGGAGGCTGCCATAATCGCGGCAGCCATCATTCCAAGGAATATCGCGCCTGGATCCGAGCCATAGCCTTTAGTATTTGTGGTGGTAATATAGTTGGGGGCCCTGGACAGGAATCGAACCCGCGACCGCATATTCCGACCGTTGATTTTGAGGATAGGGTTAGGGCTCTTGGGCACGACCGATTCTCTCTTGCGATTTGACCGCGATCCTAGAAAGTGTTATTCCAGACAAAATATGAGAGAGAATTTAGGGCTCTTGGCACACGTGAAGAATGCGATAGTGGCGGTGTGGCGTGATCGCGTGTCCTTGTGGACTGGCACAGGTGTTGGCGTGGATCGATTGACGCTTGCCAGCATGGCATCCGGGCGGCACGAGCTGCGATGGCGGATTGGGATTGACTCCTAGCGGGATCTATCATGTTTGGCGGGATTTTCGACGAGATTATCAAGAAGATTGAGGAATGGATCTCTGGCAAGGGCCATGGCGGAGACGATGCAGGCGAGCGCGATCTGCTGCCGTTGCTACTCGTGCCTGGGATTGGCGGCTCCATTCTCAATGCCGTGGACGATGACAACAGCGACAATGCCGAGCGCGTTTGGGTGCGCTTGTTCTTTGCGGATCACGAATTCAAGAAGAAGCTGTGGTCGCGCTATGATCCGGCAACGGGTAAGCATTTGAAACTTGAATCGTTTGGGAGGTGGGACGCCATTGCTTTGCAGGGAAAACCTTGTCCTTGGATCCAAAATCTCACATAGAAGTTCCAGACGAGAACTATGGATTGTTTAGTTGTGACATCCTCGACCCCGCTGTGGTAAATGTTTTGGTTCTTTCATTCTATCTTTTTCTCGGCTCACAATTTTTTTTCTCCACCAGTTCATACGTCTAAACATCGTGTATAACTTTCACGATTTGATCGAGCAATTGGAGCAGTGGGGGTACAAGGCAGGCACGACTTTGTTTGGCTATGGCTATGATTTTCGCCAGAGCAACAGGTACTTGGATTTGTGTAAGTTCGCTCGAATTGAAGCTATCTATCGGAATGGAACAGGCTCCCAGAGGCAGTAGATGGTCTTTTACGAAGACTAGAGGCCATACACAAAACCTCAGGTGGGAAGAAAGTTAATATCATTTCTCATTCCATGGGAGGACTTTTAGTGAGATCCCTCTTGGCACTTCATTCTGCTGTAAGAGAAAATTGGCTCCGTAGTTCTCTCGGGCTTATGAGTTTTTGCATTTTTGTCAGAGCTTTGAAAGACTCGTCAATTCTTGGACGACAATCGCGACACCTTTTCAAGGTGAAATGCTGTTTCTTTTTCTTTTTCTTTGTTGCACTGAAACTTGGAATTGCAGGGGCACCGGCGTTTGTGACAGACTGCCTCCTCACTGGAGTGGAATTCCTCAAGGGATGGCAAAAGGAACTGTGGGTTGCAAAGTGGAGCACGCATCAATTGGTAACAAAGCTATCTCTTTCAGCTTTGATTGCTTCAACAGATTTGTTTTGTTCATTTCAGCTTGTCGAATGTCCTTCCGTGTACGAGATGATGGCATCTCTCACGCATGAATGGGAGCGCCCTCCACAATTGCAAGTCTGGAGGCGGCGCAGAAAGCATGATAACAATCCCAAGCACGTCAAGCTACACTCATATGGACCCCTCGAGTGTGTTTCTGTAATGGAAGCTGCACTTAAAGAGAACACGGTTAGTGGTATTCTTTTCTTTCGGTATACTGGTAAACTAAACATTTTCTATGCAGCTGAGTTATGATGACAAGACGATACCCATTCCTTTCAATAGATGCATTCTAGAGTGGGCGAATGAGTCCCGCTGTCTATGGTTCTCTGCAAAGCTTCCAAAAGATTTTAAGTTCTATAACATCTATGGCACTTCATGCAAAACTCCATTCGACGTCTGGTATGTCTTCTTCGTTCTTCATAGCCAACTTTTATTGGTGATTTTTTTTTCCACTGTTTCTAGCTACGGGAGTGAAAAATGCCCTATAGTGGAGCTCAAGGAAATTCTCCATACTGAGGTAATGCGAAGCTCTTTTTTAATGCTTACTCAAAGAAACCTTGGACTTTGCAGGCCGATTTTAAGTATGTGGATGGAGATGGCACTGTGCCATCCGAGTCTTCCAAGGTAACCTTCTGTTTCTATCACCCGGTTCTAAACTCTGCTTTCTTCATAGGCTGATGGATTCACTGCGACTGCGAGGCATGGGGTTCCAGGCAATCATCGTGGTCTACTAAGATCAAATGCGGTGTTCCTCCTCCTCAAAGACATCCTGGAGATCAAAGACAAAGAGAAGAAGCTTGCGGTTCACGCTGCCCCACACAAGTCCGAGGAAGTGATTGAGAAACAAGCACAGTTTTGTCTCAGCGACACTGCCATGTCCCACAAGAACAGCACTTGGGATGCAAACTCCGAGGATAGCCAAGATTACAACAGTGGTAGCGAGAGCGAGGACAACACCGAAAACTCAGTAATATTCACCATTAACACTGAGGATGCTAGAGCTCAAGCTCACGCAAGAGCCACACCTCATGAGCCACACAAAGGCTTTGAGTTCCATCACCTCAGCGTTTCGGCTGCCGGTGTGGCAGAAGGAAGCGATCGAGAAAAGGCTACCATTGCAGTGGAGAAAGCTATGGCTTCTGCCACGGCCAAGCTCATGGCATTGTACAATATGTAAAAAATTGAAAAATACCATGTAAATTTTATCAAAGTGATGTGAGAGGCCAGATGATAATACTAAAGTAATTATTATCAGTATGAACTTTAGAAGTAATAACATGAATAATAGTACTAGGAGTTGTTGAGGTAATAGCAATCATGCCCAAAGGAAAGTTTGTCATTTTTTAAAATATATAATAATAAATAGCTCTTTACCTTTAAATAAATAATTAAATGGCTATAAAATTAAATCAATTTATAGTTAGAGAATTCTAATAATTTGCTACACGTTGCATGTAACAACGCTTGATTTCCTTAATATCTCATCTAGTATTATTGAATAATTTAATAAATAAATAATAATAAACATATTATAATTTATAAATCAAGAATAATTTTATTGTATATCAACTAAAATAAACAAGAATATACTAGGAAGTGAAACATGTTTATAATCATAGATATAAAATTAATCCAAATGAATAATAACCATTAAATAGTAAAATATCCTAGAATATCTATAGATTGCATATCCTGGCCGTTGATCTTGGATATAAAGCCCACAATAGGGCTAGGGTTTGTGGGCGTCTTTTAGGTTAGAATGCGTGCGTTTTCGGTGATGAGATCTTCACACAAGAGCTCCATCTGATGCTCCTCCGGGACATGGAGATACGGTGAATCCACACGAGATTTCTGAGAATTGCGCTTGTTCTGGAGGATGACCGATTTGTCTGATAGATTTATTTGATGTGCAAACATTGGCACTCTAATTTTTTGCTGACAGAACAAATGGTTTTCTCGAAGAAGTGAAGTTGGGGCAGATGATTTCAATCTCTATGTCAAACACCATCTTTCGGGACAGAATTCTTTTGTGTTGACAAAGCATTCGTATGATGCCCCATTTCTTCTTTCGATGATTGCTTCATCTTTACAATGCTCTTGCAAAACAACCCAGGAAGAACAAATCCTTCTTATCCAATCCGGAAAATTTTGCTTCTCATCTATCAGTGTGATGGAAGATTAGCCTTTGCTCTTTCTTCTATCCCAGGCGACGTCTAGCACTGGTCGGACGACGGGCTCGGCAAGCGGCGGCGCCATGGGGACGAAGATTGTAAGAACGCCATCTTGGCAGCCTGCTCTCATGGCATCCAGATTGGAGTTCCCTGGGAGCTGGAACTTCCGGATGAACTTGCCCATTGTGCGCTCTAAACTTATGTAGTAAGCACCGGGTTCATCGTTGCGGGATCGGCCGCCAGAGATCGTCATGAATCGATCGTTGACAACATCGATCTGTCGAGAAAAAGCGATCAAAATCCGAGCTTTGAAACAATCTAGACAGAAGCTCTACCTTGATGTCCGTGTTTCTCAATCCTGGAACGTCTGCTACGAACATATAGGCGTCTGGAAACTCTTTGACATCAACCGCAATGCTCTTGAATGGTGGTTCGCGTTGATCCTGTCCAAGAACAAAAAAAAAAGCTTCTCAAACCATCCAACTCTAGAAACAAGCTTAGAATTTACCTTGTTCAGTGGAGGCGGCTTTGATCCGATCGACACTTTCTTCGCAGTCGCGGGATCCATGCCGCCACTGAGCGTGCAAATCACTTGAAATCCCCTTGGATTGAGGTTGGGATTTCCCTTCTTCCTCTTGAGCCATGCCGCTTCCACACGAACAACCTCGCGCTTGATCAGCTGCCGCTCCGGCGGCTTAGCTTCCGGCTCCTCTCCAGCCACGCTCACCTCTGTCGTCGCTGGCGGAGCAGCCGCCACCGCCGCTGGGGGCTCGGGAGGAGCGATCGCATCCTCCTCGGCTGGTGGTGGATCTGGAGCTCGCGGCTCTGGATCTGCTGCTGGCGCCTGCTCCCGCGGGGATTGCTGTGGCGATTGAGTGGGAGATCTCTGAGTGGGAGATCTCTGCCTGGGAGATCCGGGAGCCGCAGCTTCACTGGCCATCTACTCGAGCGCATCGCTTTCCTCTAGGGCTACGCCCTTTCCCTAAAGCAGCGGTGGAGATCATCCACGCCGGGAGCGACGGTGGCGATTTCTGCGGGAAAATTTTAAATTCAAAAGATCTCAAGAAAAATCTTTGCTAGTTCTTCAAGAGCTCGACCAAATCGCTCTTCTTCATCTTCGAGAATCCAGTGAGGCCCCGAGATTTGGCGATGGATCTCAAGCTCACCACTGTTAGCTTGGCGAGATCCACTTGCTCCTCGATCGATGCTTCTTGGGGCTGTTCTTCGTTCTCTTCAATCGCTGACGATGAAGCTACGATTTGCTCTTCCTGCTGCTGGAGGATCTCTCCGCCAGCTTCATCACTCTCGGTTTCCGAGTCGGTCTCGTCCTCGCTCGATCCACCATCTTCCAAATCCTCGCCCTCTTCCTGCTGTTCTTGGTCATCCACTGCCAACTTGGTCGATCCTTTCAGCTGAGACGACGAAGAAGGCGCTGGAGCCCCCGCCGTGGAGACCGACTGGAGCTTCTTGAGGATCGAAGAGAATGGCACTGGATCCACGATTCCAGCTCCGCCTTGGACTGGAAGCTGCCGGATGATCTTGTTACTCGGCTTGTTCCTCCGGGTTGGCGGTGGTGGGTTCCTCGTCGCCACTCCCAGGGTCTTGACCAGCGTCTGGAGCTGCTGGATGGATTTCTCCTGCTGGGCGCTGAGCTTGGGAGCCGCGAAGGCATCGCCCTCTTTCGCCTGGCCGACGTTCTTTGGGAAGATCTTGTCAAACCAGGCATCCGCGTCCTTGGAGGATTGATCCTGCTGGGACTCTCCGCTAGGCCTGCTCGTGCTCGCGGCCTCGAACAAGCTCGCCCACTTGGACGCCTTGCCCTGTTCCTCGATCGCATTGCTCGCCTCCACCATAACCAGTGAAGAAGAAGAAGACGATTCACTCTTTCTTCCACCATCGCTTCCCTGCCGAGAATGTCGCGATTCCACCGGCCCTGTCTCGAGATCCGTGAATGGAACGCAGCGGAGAGGCCGCCGCGCCGGGACTGGCGATTGCTTGACAAAGAGCGATGGCGGCTTGACGGGGCAGGCTAGCTCCCCATTTTTCCGGAGCGAGGATTTCTTCTTCCTGGTGGCCTCGATCAGTACTACCGGCAGCGCTCCTCGCAGCGCCACGGGGAGAGATTTGGCGGCCGAATGGGGGCGATGGTGGTGATACATTTTCGGAGAAGCGGCGCTCCGCGAGGTCATGGCCTGGAAACAGAGAACGCGATTAGGCCTTCCTAGCGCTGCGATGGCTGCGCAGACTTACCAGCTCCCAGGACAGCTCCACCGCGATCGCTCGCTCCTCCTCATCCGGAAGAAGAAATATTTCGATTCCTATCCAGGAGTTTTAGGGTTCTTGAGAAATAAAGAGCTCAATGGCGGAGGAGGACCACGACTGGGACGCGCTGCGAAAGGATGCCACGAAGCTCATGGCGGCGATCTATTTCCAGGAGCAGCAGCTCGTCCTCAAGCGCAGGTAAAGCAGCTAGAGTCGCTGGTAATAGATCGCGATCGCGCTTCTTGCTTGTTTGTAGATGGCTGGGACGAAATTGGCCCGAGACAACGCTGCGCGTCATGGATAAATGCGCGTTTGTTGACGATGAGAAGTAACTATTCCTCGCTGCTCGTTTTATTTCTTCTTTCTTCTTTGTAGATGTATTGCTGAGTCGTTTCTACGGAGGGATGATAGTAGCGTAAGTTCTTGGATTTCTTTCACTTTTTTTTTCTTTTCTATCAGTGCTACATTTCTAGGATGGCTACTCTCTGATCCACAGCGTAATCGAGACAGCACTCGACCATTTGAAAGAAGGAGACGATGATAGTGAGAATGCTCTGGACGTAAACAATCTGGACGGGCTCTCGAATCTCGAAATCCTGGAAGGTCTGCCCAAGCTGATAAAAACTCTACGCTTCTCAGAGGTGTCAGCCTTGTTCTCGACGCTCACGCAAGACACAAAGAAAAGGAAGTATCGGGCTTGGCTGGAGCGTTCCATCCTGCAAAAGGTCGGGCTTAGACTGGGCGAGTCTGGAGAACAGGGGCTGGAAAACGTAGTGAAGTTCTTACGAGGCTTGAAGGGATCGCGAGGGAAACGAAAACGAATACGGTATGATACGGAAAAGCTTCCGGGATCCACAGCAATGGAGCTACCTCGGTTTCCGGAGGGGTGTAGTCGTATAGAAGCTGCGAAGTTGACACTCCCGACGCTACAGGACTTGCCACATCGCTGCTTGCGTGCGATGGCGGATCTCTTGTCCGAGCAGCCTTACGAGCAACAGCAACTATACGTCGTCAAGATCGGCGGTACCCGAGCAAAACTTGTGGTGCGCGTCACAAGACTTTGCGAGAACTTCTTGGAAGAGGCTTCGGATGGCTTGCCACGGCCTTTGCAGAGGGCCTTGCGGGTGATCAGTCTCCATGCACGTGAAGTTCAGGGGCACGACAACCAGCTTGTGTTGAAGCTAGATGCTCTACACCCGGACACCGAGCTGCTGCAAACAAAGCTACTCTCGGCCATCGCCCAGCTCCACGCACTTCCATTCGAAGAACTGGAGGCGGTGTATGAGACTTTGACACAAACCAAGAAGAACACGATGAAACATCCAGGAGTTTACGTCGAGTCCATCAAGAACATACTACGCGAGGCGCTCTACAGATGTACGCGTCAGACGGTACCCGAGTCCGTGCAAGAGGCCGTGGACATGGTAGTGGCAGCCAGACCGCGAAGTCTCAAGTTTTCAAGCGTAGCTGACACCCGGAACCCGAAGCGCAAGGAAGCAGAAGTGGAGGCTGTGCTGAATCTTAGCAGCGAGCTGGCGCAAGTGAGCTGGGAGTGGATCGAAACACAAATGTCCGCCAAACAGGCCGACGCCGACGACGCTGACGACGATGACTTCGACACCTTCGACTACAGCTTATGCTCGTCCCAGCTCAAGATCGAAGAGAATCCGGAAGAAAAGGGGAAGATCAACTTCGAGGATGACGAGCAGGTGGATTCAGTCGACAAGGATGTCACTGGAGTTGCCGACGAGACTGCTGCGCTTGCGTATGTTCTGATCGGGCGAGCCATGAAGGAGAAACTGGCTGGAGCTCTCGGACCTCGCGCTACAAAGTACCTTCGAAGCGGCGGGGAAGTATTTGGAGACGTTGAGACAGGTTAGTAGCGTCTATCGTTTTCTTTTACGCTCACAAGCTTTTGCAGAGCCAACGACGTATGGAGGCCACGAGACTGAAGCTGACATGGTGCTCTCGATTGTAAAGGAGCTGCCATCGCTACCAGAGAGGTAATCAACGCAGTTATATTCTTTCAAGTAGATCCCAATCGATCCACTTTGGTTTCGTGTAGCGTCGTCCACAACATTGAAGTTCGACTGAAGGAACTCAAGCAGCAAAAGTGAGTCTCAAGCTCGATGTTGTCAGTCTGATCTCGACTTGTTTCTTCCATTCTGTAGATAGAAATCTCCGGACAACCAGGGGAAAAACCTCGTGCACAGCTTTCGTGAGATGCAACTTGGAACTTCCGGCTCGTTTTGACTTCGTAGAACTCGGCCAGCTGCCACAAGGCTTTACAGGCCGACTCAAAGTCGACAAAACTTACCGCGAAAACCGAGGTGCAAGAAAGCTAAAGTTTCCAGACTTGTGAGCCTATGGAGAATTGCAGTAAGATAGAATTTCAAGGACTAGTCTGTGAGATTAAAAGCGCAAGAAAGCCAAACTTTCCAGACCTGTGAGCCTGGAGAATTGCTCTTAGGACTGTATGAACTACTTTGTGAGATTAAAAGCACTTCTAACTTTTACAGTCTGAAACGCTATAAAATGTCACTGAATTGGGATCTGTAGTGTGAACATAGCATCCAATGAATGCCCATGAGGACCAGCCATGCCATCCAGAAGTTTCATAATATCCACTCCCTTTGAAAACTATAACATAAAAAGTTGTTCGTTTTCTAATAAAATAAGTATTCTCAACAAGGGGAAAAGGCTCTTGTTTGTAATAGAAATCTTTAGAGCCATCATGTATAAAAACGTTCACGTCTTGGGAATGCTGGTAATATTTTAAATGGCACTTCATTTCAGTCTCCCAATCATCATCTGCACAATCTGGATTAACATCAACAGCGTGACCTTTCAAGCCAATAATAATCAAAGTAAGCACTGTGCACACAAAATAGCTTGCCATTTGTGTATTTGAATGGCTGATTTGGGATATTATTTCTGGCTATTGCACTAGGATACAAAATATTAAAGTTAAAAGTCCAAGAAACAGCTAATCATATTTATTTTATATGGTAATTTAGTCACTTTTGTCTACTTGGACATGGAGTTCGTCCTGACATTAGGAGCCATGGAAGTTTGCTCTGGATATAATAAAATAAAAATTAGAATTTTCTAAGGAACTCTGTTTTTATAGCTTTCAATATTGTAAAAAATCATTAAGCTGCTACTTAGCAGTAAATGCCAAGCCATGCCACCCAGATGTTTTATAGTATGCATTAGCTTAAAAAAAATTATAACACTAAAAGTCTGGCAAAAGAAATTTTAGAAACAAGTGTATTTTATGTTTGAAAGATTGACATTTATTGTTTATAAAATGTTCACAGGTAATGATCTAGATGACACTTCATTTTTAGCATTGTTACAGCCTGAATTAACATTATGAACTTTTGAGGTAATAGCAAGATTAACAATAGTATGAACTTTTGAAGTAAAATGATTGATACGACAGAAAATCATAGAAAAAAAGTTAAATAAGTCTAGAATAAAAAACCTTTAAATAAAGAATATTAAATATAATGGCTGAAAAATAAAATAAAATGATAGGTTTTTAATAATTATAAATTATAGTTAAATTAAACTCTAAATGACTTTTTAGTTAAAAAATATGAAGTCTTGTCAAATATGTATAAGGAGTCAAATTCATTCTCAGCAAACTGTTGTATGTTATGACTTGACTATATATTTGTAATTTTAGTAGGTGTTGAAAGTTGGAATTTAATTTTGTTATGAAAACATTATAAGATCTGGAAATAAAACAATTTGATCTGAATATTTAAATATGATTGGTTATAAAAAAACTGTCACAGTCTATATATAGCCTTGGAAAAACTTTAACAATACAATAATACTAATAATTATTATATAATTTAACAATATTTCTAATTTCTAAATGGGTTTAAACTTATTCTAATAATCAAAAAACTCTATAAGCTTTTCTTAGATTGCTCTAAGATGGTCTAGGTGGTGTTCTCACGTTAGTTTTAAGTGATATCTTTGATCTTTGTTAGATCCGGAATGCACTTTAAGGACGAAATACTAACATATTCTGGTTCGGATGCTTCTCGAGCCATGGAGATTCCCAGCATTCCCACTGCCTTTGCAAAAGAGTAATGCGTGTTTTGCGAGTATGGAGTGATAGCATTCTATAGAAACAGAGAAGATTGGGTCAAAGGTTGATGGAACTCTAGCGATAGATTGGACGTTTGTTATTGTCATTATTGGAGACTAGGAATTTCCCAGCGAGGTAGTCTCGCGCATTTCACGTATTAGCAGTGTCACTGATGCTAAGTTTGAATGTTTGACGCCAAAGAAATAGCGTGAACTCTTTAGTAGAGGAGAGCCACACCGCAAGGTCCACCTACCAAAACAACTCGTGTTCTAAGAGCCTCACGCACATATTCTCTCTCTCTCCCCTCGCCAGGAGCGCGCTATAAGTCGATCGATTGATTCACCAGAGGGTATCACCACCACGGCATTCAAAGGAGGGAGAGAGAAACTCTTCATCTATCGAATGGAATTCCTCGGCGCGAGGGGCTGCTTCTCATGGCGGCGGTGCGCCCGGGTGTTGCTGGCGGTGGCGCTGCTGCTGCCTCAGATGGCTCATCGTTCCGTCTCGTCGTCGCTGCTTGTTCCAGCGGAGATCTCTGCGTCTAGTCGCCTGGGATGCAACCAGTACCAGCTGCTGACGTGCTTGGGATCGCAGAGCGGCGCCCCGCAGGACGATTGCTGCGATGCCATCCGCAACGTTCTTAATCCAGGGTGCGTTTGCAGCCCCGAGTATCCGGGTAGAACAGTCATCAAGTCGCTTCTCCCCATTGCCCAGTCGTGCCAAGTGCAGCTCGACGTTGGCGAGCGCTGCCACCACTCGTGAATATATGATAGAAATCTCTGAATCTATCCTAGTGTGTAAGTTCCAGTGAAATAAATTTACATAAAATTGATTAAAAAAGGAAGAGAGAAATAGTTTCTTTATTTTAGAAAAATCTATTTTGATATTTCCTTAAATATCATAAACCAGCTAGGACCAATTATACAATAAAACCAAAATAGCAGCATAGAGACTATGCATTATTGATTATCAGATGATTGATCATAAAATTTGAGATATAAATGTATTTGTTCCAAGTTTCTCTGCAGGACATAACATGCTACTTTTTGTTATTTCTATATTATTTCCTATTCCAGCTTTGGCTGTAGCAAAGGTTACTCATGTTTTTCTCTTTTCACGTAATTACTAACAATATCATTATCCAGGATAAAGAATGCACATATGGTGTTAATATTAAAACTGGCTGTGTTCAATGGGCAGGAACTGATGCTGATGTAGATGTAACATTCACTACACTATTAGGAACCAGTGTCCAATTCACCCTGGATAATCCTGGCATAGATGACTTTGAGATTTGCTCACTATCAACATTCACAGGATTGGTAGCAAATTGCCTCCAAGCATTTGATCCAGTGTGTAGAATGGTGCTGCACCACAATAACAAAGGAAAGAATCCTGGCTGGTTTGTAGACTGGGTGGAATACATCCCACCATTCTCTCAAAACCACATGTCTAGGCCAGTGTCATTTAACGTGAACGCATGGCTTCAAGACAATAGCCTCACATACACTGCAGATGCTTGTTAAGAAACTGATAAACTCACAATAATGATATGGACTTACTTTGCTTCAGTGTCTTTTTGTTTGATCCAAAGATTTGATTTTGTTGTTATTGCTTCACGAGCTTTCTCTGGCTTTCCGACTCTTGCAGTGCCCACATTCTGGAGTACATTCCCTTCATTTCCAGGAGCTTGTGATGCGTGCCTTGCTCCACGATCACTCCAGCGTCTAGCACCTGAAAAGGTGGAAGTGGAAATGGAAATGGTTGATCGAGATTAAGGAAACTAGAGGGGATAGTTTTCGCTACCAGGATTTTGTCACAGTGCATGATAGTCGAAAGGCGATGCGCGACAAAGACGCAGGTCCGACCTGTTGCCAGTTCCTTGAGAGAGTTTAAGATAGCCGCCTGCGCAGACGAAAAAACTCAGACGGGACAGATGCAAACTTAGAAAACGGACCTCCGTTGTTGAATCCAGTGCACTGGTTGCTTCGTCACACACTAGTAATCTTGGGGCCTTAAGAAACGCTCTAGCAATGGCCACCCTTTGCTTCTCACCGCCACTAAGCTGAAAGTTTCATCAGTCATGGCATCAATAGTTTTTACCCTTTTAGAAAAAATAATTGTACCTTCAGGCCCCGTTCGCCAACAGCACTGTTGTATAAATCCGGCATTTGCAACACAGTATCGTGCAGTCTCTGCATCCATGAGTATCACAAAACACTAGAGCTAAAGGAGAAGGAAAAACGAAAAAAAACGCCTACCGCTTGTTTGGCCGCATTGACAACTTCTTCTTCTTTTGCCGAGGGTCGACCGTATAGAATGTTTTTTGAAATTGTGTCGTTAAAAAGCACCTGCAATACACCGGTCACTAATAAGGAGTAATTTCAGGATAAGGCATACCGTTTCCTGAGGAACAACTGCAACTGCCCTACGGAGTGACGCCTGGAAGTCCAACAAAATAAAAAAGAAGCACAAAAATGCAAGACATTGTTCAGACCTGTGTTATGGAACGTAAGTCTTGACCATCAAACGAAAGCCTGCCGCTTTCAGGGTCATATAGACGAAGGAGCAGCTTCAATATTGTAGACTTTCCAGATCCAGATGGTCCAACAATCGCTAGACTTTGACCAGGAAGAACTTCAAACGAAACTCCATGCAAGACCTGTTACATGCGTTATAAAATGGAAGGGACAAACAAACACAAACTTGGTTACTTTTCTCGATGAGTAGCTAAACTGGAGATCGTGCGCCTTCAAATGAAGTCCTTTGCTGTTGTAAGGAAGATCTATGGTACCATCCTTGAGCATCGGTTTTCGTCTGGACCAAACACTGTCAGTTAAAACAATGGATTCTTCATGTGAGATACTCAGAACCTTAAAATTCCGAAGAGGGACTCCAGATCAACAAGCGACTGCCGAAGCTCTCTGTAAATGAACCCCAGAAACTGTAAATCCATGTTGAGAAAATGTTACACCTTGAAAAAGAATTCCTGGTTCGCTATGTAAATTGAAAAAAAAAGGTTCGACTTACTAACCTGTAGCGGTCCAGAGAGTTGAAGTATCAAACCATTAGCCAACACAAGATCTCCGACGGTGATAATGCCTTGAGACACCTGAAACCCGGCAAGTCCCATTACGACCGCGATTCCAACAGCCTGAATGAGAGCTTGACCCGCATTTAGCGCCGCTACCAGCTTTTCCGAGTCAAGCTAGTGAGGAAAGAAATCAGTGACAATTGCGAACTAGATTGAAATAAGAACATACCGCTGCGTTTTGATAATTTTGAAGCAGAGCATCGTACTGCATAACTTCTAGCTTTTGATTGTTGAACTGCAGAGAATCATGATATCAAAGGACAAATAGGAAAAGAAGAAAACGGAAGTTGCAAACCTGTACAACAGTTTCGTAGTTCAGCAAGGCATCCACGGCTTTACCGGAGGCCAGTTCGTCCAGCTTATTCACCTAGACAAGCAGCGCCAGTAAATAGGAGCGCAAACACACGATTGTACTTGCCTCCTTTCGACTCAATGCAGCAGCTTGCGTAATGTAAAACGTCCAGGCTACGTACGCAGTGAACGTTACCACTACAACAGCAGCAACAATCGGGCTAACTTGTTTTGCTAGAAGCCCGCAGACTAGAAGGAGCTCCAAAATTGTTGGTACAAAAGTAAAAACTGCAGAAGCATCAAAAGACGATAAGACTTTAGAACAAGAAACAATGGCCGAGGAGAAGACTTTACCTACAGCTCGGAAGATGCTCATCACACTTCTCTGAGCTCGATCTAGAATACGAGACAGGGCGCCTGTTCTTCTCTCGAGATGGAAAGACAGGTCGAGCCCGAGGACGTGTTCCAGCAGCTGAACTCCCACTCTGCGACCGGTAGCAAAACCGAGTGGAGCAAAAATCAAATACCTCGTCTCGTTGAGTCCTGCACTAAGGGCCTTCAACGCATGCCTGCTATCAGAAACATGCTAGAAAAGAAGGAAGAATATAGTGCAGCAAGAGTACCTTGCTTAAAGCCGAGAAAACCAGCGCCAAGACGGCAAACTTCACCTGTTGTGTCGATAGAGCTTTGGCTGGCGCTTGAGCGAGGACGTCCATTCCCCATTTAAAGAACAAAGGACCAGCAAGCCCCGCTGCCTGTTCGAAACGCAAGAGCATAAAGGAACAAGGAAGAAAAGAAAGAGAGCAAAGTTTTCGACATACTTTTCCAGCAAACAAAAAGCTCACAGCGACGATGAGCCGCCATCCCAAGTTGCTATCCCCGGATGCCAATCTCCAGAGGTAAGGAATGACCTGCGAATCAATCGGAAAAGAAGAAGAAGGACAAAGCTAGAAGTTTTCCATCGAGAGAATTGGCAAGTTACCGTAGAAAGGGATGCCTCCACCGGTGGCGTCGGCAATGGAGCGAGAGGTGGAACCTTTGCGGGCTTCTTGTCGAATGGAATGGCGACATTACCAGAAGCAGCAGCGGCGTGGATTGGAGGCAGGCAATGGCGACGCCGTTGCTGCTGCTGCTTGTGAGATCCTCCGCAAGTCCAGACGCGACGATTTGGCGTGGCAATGGCAAGCGCGGAGACAGCTCGAGCGCTTAGCACGCTCGTCATGCCGCCCTAAAACAGAGACTTAAAATGCAGCCCTAAAAAACTAAAGTTGGTGTTAAAGATTTTAACCAAATTATAACCATGCCAATTATAATCAAGAGAATCTTTCATTGTCTTTCACAACTTTGCTTCCACCATAGACAAAGCTTGCTTGCCCGACTTCTTGGAGCTATTCATCCGAGCTATGTCTATCCCCGCGTTCATGGCCTTCCAGATCCTCCGAGCTTCTTGCTTGGAGAGCAGAGCACTGATTCCCGGGAGCGCAAGCACATCTTGGAGCAAGTTGTCTCATGTCTCACCGCTCAGAAGAAGAACTATCTTGGCTTTCAGGTTAACCATAATCTCGCCTTTCCGGTAGACATGGGAGCTCTGTTGGATCGCCATTGCCGATGTGAATCCCAGCAGCGGGGAAGTGGAGACTCGTCACTACTCGCATATTTATCTGATGGATCCTGTCACCAGAGTGCTGGTTGACAGGCTTGTCAGTGACTTGAAGAACAGCAATGATCCATTTCCCTCCAAATAGTATAACTCTTTCCCAAGAGAATGGTAATTCTACCGCTTCAAAAGGTTCAAGACATCTCCAACCAGATGAAGCGAACCAGTTACCAAAACCTGCAAGAAGAGATAAGCACTTCTAGAAAGATGGAAAGAAAAGAGCGAATGGATCTCTCCTTACGTTTACGGAGAATGAAGGACAGCTTCGCGCTAGTCGCCGTAGAAAGTTTAAAGCCACACCAGGAGACGGGATCACCATGCTATACTCCGTCGTACTCACTGCTTCTTCTCCTTCTTCTTGAGTAGCGACCGGATTGCAAAACTCATCTCTACCCGCTGCTACAATAAATTCACATCGTTGTCAGTGGTTGTTCCTCCAAGCAGAAGCTTGAGACAAGAAAACGAACCTGGTGATTGAAGACTGTCCCAGCATTTCTGAAGATATCGCTGCCATTTCAAGTCCGATGTCGGGGTTCCGTGACTGTTGGACACAAACACCGCCTTGTCAATACGAACACCTGCTAGAAAACGAAGCTGTGAGACGCAAAAACAAGAAATCACGCAAGAGCACCTTGGCCGTGGCACGCGTTCAAAAGGGACGGGAAGAGGATCGCCGGGTCTCTCTCCGGCATGCAGTTGAACACCATGATCTGCGAGTAGAAGCAAATCAGCGAGAGAAGATCGCACGACTAGAAGTACCTGCTTTGGAGTCTTTTGGCGAGAACTCTTTACAGCCTTTGAGAACCAGTTGCCGCACACTTCCATGCTCTCTGGACTGTGCGCACCATCCAAGTATAGCATCAAGTTTTCGAGATCGCGTTCAATCTGAGCACGTCCTAACAGTTGCGCGCTTGCTAGGCCCGTCTTGAACGCGTCAGGGAGATCATCCTAGAATGCACGCAAACAAGAAAACAGTTAAGGTGGTTTCAGTGACACGCGAGGCTTACATTTCCCATAGCCTCGTCGATCCCACTTTTCTTGATCCAGTGCTTGCACAGTGACACTGCCAGAGCCGCATTTACAAGCTGGTGATCGCCCTTGAGTCCAAGTTCCAAGTTTCCAGTGTCTGCTAGAGGATGGACGACTTGGAGTGGGATCTGAAAGCGTCACAGATCAAAGCTTTGAAGGAAAAAATTGGATCTTACCGATAGATCAGCTGCTCGTGCTTGGAGGACGGCCATGGCATCCTCGCGTTGAGGCGAAGTATAAGCAGAAACCCCTGGCTGTGAGGTTTTAGGCACTCTCAGAAAGAACAGTTCCAAAATGTGGAGTAAATACCTTGAGGATTCCCGCTTTTTCCCCAGCAATTTCGGGGAGCGTGTGTCCTGGACGACCACGGACAATGCAAATCAGAGAAGTTTTCCAAATTGACACAGCATCTTACCGAGTATTTCCATGTGATCAAATCCCAAGGAGGTTATACCACAGACATCCGGTGTTTCTATCTGAGAAAAATAAAAATTGTGTAGCTCAGTAGCTAGCATCAACCCCAGCATACCACATTTGTTGGATCATATTTGCCACCGAGACCAACTTCCAGAATAGCAACATCAATCTAGAAAAACAGTTGCATGTTAGAGGATTGTTTCGGGACGATCAAAATGTTCTGGTTTCACCTTTTCTGAAGTGAACATCTTGAAAGCCAGCAGTGTGAGAAACCGAAAGTACGAGGGCATAGGCAAGCTGGATGTGCATCCTTCCTGATCATCTCAGAACCAATCAGCCTCACAATATCTTGAGAGTTTTCTCACCTGTAGACGATCCCAGCACCACCAGAAATACTCTTGGAACAGAGTTTCCGACACTTCAGTTCTGGAACAAGCTCCATGATCATTAAAAAAAACACGCAAGAGAAATTTCAGGCATACCAACCCATTGAATCGAAATCTTTCACGAACGTCCACGAGGTGTGGCGACGTAAAAAGACCAGTCTTGTATCCACAGGCTCTTAAAATGCTCTCGGAGAAAGCGCAAGTCGATCCCTGGGGAAAAAAATCTCTACAATGAGAGAAAGAAAGAGGGAAAAAAATTCCACACAAACCTTTCCTTTGGTTCCTGCGACGTGAATGACACTGAGTTTTTTCAGAGGCTCCTCCAGCTGAAGGATCTAGAAGAAGAAATCGAGAGAAATGCGTTGATTTGATCGAAAACTCCATTCCACGCACCTTAAGGTAATCGCCCATGAGTTGCACCGTCTCATTGGGGCCGGCAATCCTATAGCGCCTGGTGATGAGCGACGTAAGCGCCTCCCTGGAAGCCTCAGGACTGCTGCTACGGAGCTCCATTCTATCCAAAACTCAAACTTTAGGGTTCTTGGAGGCCTGGAACTTCAACTTGGCTGCCCAGGATGGATGCGGGGCAATGACTTCCACCACTTCTCCTGTCATGGGATGTTGGAACGCTATGCTCTCAGAGTGTAAGAAATGGCTCTGGCACTTCTCCCCGTTCCAGTGTAGCGGGCCACCATACTTGACGTCCCCGACCAGAGGAAGTCCCAGAAACTGGCAGTGGAGCCTGATCTGATGAGTCCGTCCCGTCAGAGGCACTGCTCGGATGAAAACTTCGTCGCCGGTGCCGGGCTCTGGATCGACCATCTTCGCCTCCACAACGATCCGCTGCTCTCGATCATCTTCTTCGCCGTCTTTCACTTCATCCAGAGAGCTCGGGATGACTTCTATTTTCGTTGCCATGTCTTTGACGACCGATCCATCCGGCAGAGACCTCTCTACGTCGTGCTTGGAGTAGACTCGCCAGCAACCTCTCCTGGATTTGCCATGCCCCGATTCAACCACGGCTCTCTTCCACTCGGGAGCTTTCCCGACGCAAAGCGCAACGTAGGACTTTCGCAGCTCCCGGCTCTTGAAAATGTTGGTGAGCTTCCCTGCCGCAACTTTGTCTCTGGCAATCACGATGATCCCACTGGTATCTCTGTCTAGTCGATTTGCTAGATGGAAAAAGCCCCGGCTCTCTGTTCTTCACGGAAAGGAAGAAAGACAAAGATGAGAAGTAAGCTCCTCGTCTAGATAAAAAAGGAATGCTTACTCTCGATCGGGTACTGTGGCGAGTAGGAATCTCCCAAGAGCGATGGAACTGAGACGAGGACGTGCTCGGAGTAGACTCCACAGGGCTTGTTAATGACGAGGATCCATTCGTCTTGGAACACGACGTCGTCGATCGTGATCGCGGGGCCGGATTTCATGGACGCCTCCGCTACCAGCGCCCTCTCGTACTCGATCTCTTTGGCGCCTGTCAGCGGCGTCACTGGAATAGGGTACCTGGAGAGATCGATCGCCGCCGCCGCCGCCTCGCCGCATTCTTGCGATTCCACCGCCGAAGCAGCTGCCATTGCCACGGCAATCGTCGATCTGGAGAACGGACGAGAGGAGGAAGCGGAGGAGGGAGTGGCGGCGCTTAAACCCAATCGCGGGAAGCACGAATAATGGAACAGCGCCATCGCTAAGAACCCTAATTAGCAGAGCATTGCCCAGATGGCAAGCTCTCATTGGCCACCTTGAAATGTATACCCTAGCGCAGGGTTTAAGCGATCCAGGAGGAATGGCGAGAGTTGCGAGCTGCGGCGGCGCGCTGTGCCTCTCCAGAGCGATGGCCAAGAGCATTGGAGCTCGCTACTCGCGAGATTTCGCTGTGAAATCGGTGTGCTCGGTGATCAGAGTGTCAAAGCGCTCTCTTTGGAGCTCCGGCAGTGCGGTTTTGGGGGGCTACACTCGCAAATCCAAGATTTCTTGCCAGGTTAGTGGATTTCCTCTCATATTTTCGCGATCACAGCCTCTGGAACGCAGCTAACGAAGAATGTGAATGGATTGAGAAGCTTGGGCGGAGCTTACGCTTCGTTTGCGAGTGATGCTAAGAAAGGTATAGCAGCTAGTTTTGTCTCGATAATTGTTCTTTCTTTGGTGACAGGAAAGAAGAAGCAAAAGAACTCCACAGCTGCCGATCCAGCGTCAGAGTACTCCGAGAAGGAAGCAGCATTGCAATCGGCGCTCGCTCAAATCAAGAGCTCGTTTGGAGACGAGGCTGTTATGTGGCTTGGAAGGAACACGTCCAAGCAAGTTCCAGTGGTTTCGACTGGATCGCTCGCTCTCGATGTAGCGCTTGGAGTGGGAGGTCTTCCCAAGGTGTGATCGATCGAGAGCATTTTTTTTTCATCTTTGGAGCTTACTGTTTTGCGCAGGGACGTGTTGTAGAGATCTATGGACCGGAAGCGTCTGGGAAAACAACGCTTGCTCTTCATGTTATTGCTGAAGCACAGAAGCAAGGAGGTCGGTCTTTCCACTTTCTCGCGAAGTGAAATAACTTACGTTACTTTTTGTGGTCTTTTACTTCTAGGAAGGTGTGTTTTTATCGATGCTGAGCATGCCTTAGACAAGTCACTTGCCGAGGCTATCGGAATTGACATCGATGAGCTGCTCGTGGCACAGCCAGATTGTGGAGAGAACGCCCTCGCAATCGCAGACACACTAGTTCGCAGCGGATCAGTGGATGTTTTGGTTGTGGACAGTGTAAGTTGTCATTTAAAGTTTGAGAAAGAGTGTAACTCTTCGTTTTTGCAGGTTGCTGCTCTAGTTCCTCGAGTGGAGCTAGAAGGTGAAATGGGGGACTCTCATATGGCGTTACTGGCTCGGCTAATGAGCCAGGCACTTCGCAAGCTTACACATTCTCTATCACGTTCACAAACCATTCTGATATTTATCAACCAGGTACTACCAAAATCCTTTTCTTAAATCACACAGACACGGGTCTTGTTCACAGATCCGATCCAAACTTGCCTCCTTTGGAGGTTTCGGAGGAGCTCCCATAGAAGTAACTTCTGGTGGAAACGCACTGAAGTTCTATGCATCGGTGAGACTAAACATTCGGAGAACAAACTTACTCAAGAAAGGAGACGAGGTAACGATCTTACTTCCAGTTATTTCCAAAGATAACACCGTTATTTCACAGACTGTAGGCGCTCAAGTACTAGTCAAGATTGCCAAGAACAAGCTCGCGCCACCATTCAGAACAGCCGAGTTTGAGATCGACTTTGGCCGGGGCATTTCAAAAGAAGGAGAGGTGTTGGACCTGGGCTTCAAGCACGGGCTCGTGGGAAAGACTGGCAATTGGTACACTTACAACTCGGAGAACATTGCCAACGGGAAGGAGAACGCAAAGAAGTACTTGCGGGAGCATCCAGACATTTTGCAAGCTCTGTCCGAGAGCTTGAGGGAGATCCTGATGGGAAGGTTATTAGCGCAGCAGGGCGACGCTGGAGAGAACGAGACCGAGGTGGAAGGAGACGAGGATGGAAGCCTAGAAATGCTTGCCAGGTGATGATCTTCCTTGGGTCGATTTTGGAGTAAGACCCTCTAGCTAGTAGTGATAGTGTAGATCGTTCTTGCTCGTTCTTTTTGGACAGATTCTTTCCAGCAGATAAAACTATAGCGTGATCTTTCATCGATGTTTGATCGAAGCTTGCTCGATCGAACTTATTAATAGATTTGGGAGTGTTACTATGAAGCCAGGAAATCGTTCGCAAAGTTGACGAGAGAAATACTGTCCTCCGGTGTCCTGGAACCAAATTCAATAGGAGCTTCTTCCCCGCCGCCACTGCTCGTCACCCACGTAAAGCTGACGTTCTGTAGCGACAGGGCATGCGCCCTCTGGACAAACATTCCCGATCTCTTGTCGTGGGAGATAAGACCCTGGCATCCCGGTCTAAAGTCCTGCATCCCTCCATCTCCGCTATAGCTCGTCCACCTCTCGATTTTCAAATCCACGTCCACAAGTTTCACGCTGTGAATCACAGCTCCATTCCCAGACGCCGCGAGAAAGATCCCATTCTCAGATCGACCAGTGATGTTGCGAAACTCGATCGAGTGGACCGATCCCACCCGCGTGGATTCGTCTCTGGGACACACCGTCACATAGATCGGCTCGGCTCTCCCCCACCACGACGGATCATAGTATCGAGTGGACACCACAATGTTGGCGAAGATCACGCCGTAGACGCTCCCGGCGTCCCGGAGCTGGATCCCAAGTCCGCGATGCGAGTCAACGATGATCAAGTTTGAGAATCGAAGGTGGTGGAAGTCGAAGAAGGTGGCGCTGCCGAGCTTGACCCCGCACGACTTTGTCCGTACCCAGCAGTCCCGGACGGTGAGGTTGACGAGCGGTCCGTACGTGGTCTTTGGGCAGATTGCATCGTCGCCCGTGTCAATCCGGCAGCGCTCGATCACCGTGTTGTTGGATCCATCTATGTCGATACCATCGTTGTTGGGCGTGTCGAAATCGCCCAAGATTGAGATGTCGTGGATGTGGATGAAGTTTGAGTTGACCAGATGCAAGCTGCGCAAAGTCACAGCTCGGTCAACCATGGTCAACATATAGTCAACTATAGTAAAACGTTTAGTCAACGTAGTTCTTACCACCAGTATGCCGGCTGCCGGAGATCGATGTTCCAGACGCGAATCTTGGTCGAGCGTAGAAATCCCACCAATCTGGGGCGGCATTCATCGCCTAGGCAGTTCCCAGTGACGTTCCAGCTCGTCATGATGTTCTTCTTTGGATCATATCTCACCACAAACTTGGAGCTCTGGCCGTTGACCTCGCCACCGCCAGTGATCCCCACATTCTCTACGCCCTCGGCGAGAATCACATACCATCGATCCTTCTCGGGAGGGTAGTCCATCTGCCTGGAGCTTCCCAAGATCTTGGCGCCACGGTCGATGTGGAGCGTCATGTTGGATCTGAGGAAGAGTGTTCCAGTGAGGTAGGAGCCTGGAGGAACCCAGACGACACTCTTGGAGCCGAGTTTGTTGCTGCGAGAGTGGCAAGCATTGATTGCCGACTGGATCGAGGAGGTTTCGAGCGTTGATCCATTGCCAAGAGCTCCATAGTCTCTCACGTTGCATTGCACTGGTCGAGATGGGTTTGGAACTCCACTGGAGGAAATGAGAGAGACAAAGAGGAGGGACACGACCAGATGTACATGTACATAATGACGATAGAGTTCCATTTCGTGGCTGTGGATAACATCCACGTGTCTATCATAGGGCCTAGTATAATTGAGTGAACTCAAATGTTTCATAGAGTAGTCGTGGCATGAAAACTACTCTTTTGTATTGCATGGAGGAGTTGCCAGGGACAAAACTCTCCTTTTGCCACTTGAAGTTTCCAGGGGAAGCAGGAGAGGAGGCACTGCCCAGCACCAGAGATGGATTTTGACTACCTCATTGTAATATGATAGCACAAATATCACGATAAAATTTTTACCAATTTGTTATCGTGTGCTCACTTTTAATATTGCACTCAATATGAGCTTGGTTTTGTGGCATTTTAATGCACAAACAATACATCACTCTAAGCATTTGAGCAAATGTGAGATTACTATTTGCAAAATAAAGTATTAATTCTAAAAGATCTTGTAGCATTGCAATTTTACCAATTCCATTTCAAACCAAGAGCTCCAAGGATTGTGGAGAAGCAAGAGGCCCTACTTGAGGGGGATGGTCCAAAGTTGAGTTGAGCTCACGAGTTGAGCTCAATTCAGCTCAAGTCAATGCTAGTCAACATAGTCAACGATAAGTTTTATAAGGAAATATTAAGTCAGAAAAATGTTATTCTTTGGTGAATTTGAAATTTATGAATTTAAGTATCAATGGTTCAGAGAGATTTTTATTTTTTGAATCTTTCTAATGCAATTTATACAATTTCTAGAATTAGAAGTTCGTTTGAACCCATAGAAATTTTTGGGCTTTATTGGTCCTAAATAAAATGGGAACATTGAAGTTCAAATGAACCGGAAAATTTCTATTGTACATTTCAACATTTTAACATTTCAACAATTGACCAGAAATATATAAATAATTCGAAACACTGATTCACTCGTTCATTCTTTAGGGTTTACAGAGATGGGAAGCAAGGAAGACAAAAAATCTGTAAGTAGTTCTAGCATACAGAAATGTGAGAATGTGAATTTTGTTTCACTACCACAATCTCTATATTACACGCCTGGTCCTTATTACCCATCCGGGAATGTAGAGACCACTGTCACTATTGATAAAAATGCTCCTGTTACTTCCGAAACAACAATCCAGAGCAAGAGAAAAGAAGAAATGGACAGCACAGCGGAAAGCACTAATAAATCCACTCTATAAACCTTTCAATGGCTTTTGTAATCCACTAAAATATTATAAAAAAATGTAAGTTTTTTATATATATCTTATTCCTTTTGATATGTTTTGTCTTTGCAAAGATATATGATGTAGACAAATCAAAGAATTAAATCTATATATGATTTTGGGATTGAAAGGTAATCTTGCAAAAAGGCATACTCGCGTGCCTGTGTATATTCGCTATTATTATATATGGCAGGCCAACTATATAAAATGAGGCTACATATTAATTATATGCTAGTTTTTAGCTTCTGAAACTCTATAGCCACTTGTTTCTTATAGTAGGTTGTAATTACTAAGACTGACAATTATCATTCATTATAGTGTCATGTCATAATAAAACATCATTCCCGAGATTGAAATATAGTATATTAATGAGAGAATTCTTATTGCTAGGAAGTTTAATTCTTCTTGTGTGTTGCAATGGTTAGGAAGAAGTTTATTTTTGGTCCCGAAGGCCTTTCATATAAGTCTCCACCTCCATCTCCAATCTCAACCAATAATCCACCTTCACCTCTACACAACAATCCTCCTTTTCATTTTGAGGGTTGTTGTGAGGCTCTTCCATTTGCGACCTCGAGTGCAACTGAACAAAAACTCCTTCCTTATGATATTGTTAAAAAAGTTGGATTGCCTCCAATGCTTCAAGAGCGATGTCAATATTTTCTTCAAGATCTTGCTCCAGATATGGCAGAGGAGCTTAATGTAGATACATATTATCTTCAGTGTTCTATATGCAACTTTTATTTAAACAAGACAGATGGTTGCATGGGTTTGGTAAATTTTATTGAGCATTGTCGCAAATGCCCAAGAGCGGGTTTGGAAGGTGTGCACGCGTGGATGTATAAGAAAATCAAGAAAGAATTAAAAACACACAGCTATTATGATTTCATGGTGGAGAACAATATTCCATTGGTGAACACTGCATCAGTAAGTGCTGAATATGGGATATTTAGGCCACCCTTTAATGTAATGTGAAAGTCATGCATAGTTTTTTCAAAAGGTTAATTCTTTATGAGTAAAGTGGAGAATCTTATATTTTCGAGAATGATATTATTCTAGCATGTATAAAGATATTATTATATATACAAGTGGTTCTGACACTATTATAATTTTGAAGTCCCATTTTTTAGACTAACAATTTAAACTTTCAAGAACCCCTAGATCTTTTTTTAGTATAAATACCAACAAGGAATGCTTTCAACATTGAAATTTCAGTTTGTTTAGAGTGTAGGAATGGCTAAGGAAAATGCTATTGCTACTCGCACTTGGCCCCCATGCATTTCATATGAATCTCCACCTCTATCTCCAACTTCTACCAACATTCCACTGTTCCCTCCATACATCAATCGTTGTGAGGCTTTTTCTTTTGTAGCCCCAAGTGTGACTGAATAAGAGATCCCTCTTCCAGATAATGTTCTAGATGTTGCTACTAAAGATGGATTGCCTCATGTGCTTCAAGAGCGATGCCAGATGTTTCTTCAAGATCTTGCTCCCGATATGGTTGAAACTTTTGAAAGAATGAACACATATTATCTCCAGTGTCCCATCTGCTACTTTTATTTAGATAAAACGGAAGGCTGTATGGGTCTAGAAACTTTTCTAGAACACTGTCACAACTGCCCAAGAACTGGTGTGGAAGGTGTGCATAAATGGATGTATAAGAAAATCAAGAAAGAGTTAAGAACACACAATCATTATCATTTCATGGTGAGGAATAATATTCCGTTAGTAAATCCTACATCCACAAGTGCTGAATATGGTATTTTTAGGCCATCCTACTGAAAATTCCAGCCACTAATAATTCTTACACTATGATATTATTCATCCCCCCCCCCCCCCCCCCACCTTTTTTTTATTAACAAAATTGTATTACCTATAGATAATAAACTGATAATACTAGTAATTATGAAATTTGACAGACTGACACTGTAACTTTGTCATCTCTGACACTGACACTGTCTCTGTCACTGACACTATCACTGTTGCTATCTGCTACACTGACATTGTCAATGTCACAATCATTATCACATTGACATGTGACACATCTTTCTCATTGCATTCAATTGTCTTTTAATGTATCATTAATAAATAGATTTTTCATACCACTCCTCAATTTACACATTGCATATGATGTGCCATGCATACCTAGGAAGACTTCTAGAAAACTAAATATATATTATTTATAAGTTTTTAAAACATCATAAATTACCTCCTAGAAGCAACTGATAGAGAAGGACGAAAACCTCGAAGATGACGTTTGAAGAACTCATATTCTTCAATCGCAAACACCGATCTACCAGAGCCACGTGCTGCTTCGACCATCGAACCACTACCTGCTGTGCAATCGATGACAACACCCCTAGTTGGGCAATAAAGCTCAAGTAGAACATGTATCGCCGATAGAGATCGGAACCGATACCCAGACAATGTGTTGCGGATGTCGTCGTCTATGAGATTTGGTATGATGTCAGTAAAGCTATCATACCCTGGCAAAACCCTTGCAGCACGCTCGCTATCACGAAAACCGTCATTTTCTTTTCTGCAAAACACATGGTAGGTCCACATCATAACCTGAATAATAAAACTTTAGAGACAACCAAAACAGAAAATGATTTCTTACCTTCTCTGGCATGCCTAGGACACCTTTGGTCTCGACCCCAACACTATCCATGATGCATCCGGAAGAGAACCTCTTGAAGTAGACTCGACTTGCATACCTCATAAGGCAGGACATCCAATGGGGGTCATTCGGGAGAATGAAGGCAACTTGACCGGTTGTGTGAAGGAGAATTGCTGCCAAAAGGAATGCATCCTTCAAGTGGTCTTTAGTCAGGTTGTTCCAGCTTGGGACATCACCATTAGCGTCTAGAAGACCATTAGCATGTCAAAGAGCATGAAGTTTGTGCTCTTGAGCGGTCGCCTATGGATCTTCTGACAAAAGCGCTCCCACTTTTGCCGGATAGCCATATTCTTAGCATCCTCCTCAAAAGATGCCATCAATGAACTATAGGAGCCAATAAAGATCCCAACTTCACCACGGCATGCCACTGGAGATACAAGGCAAATCTAGGGGGAGAAGACAAAGATAAGATGTGAATTTAAGAAAAATTTACATACCGTCATGTGGCGTGTGGTAGATGTAAGTTCCTCCAAGTCCTCTTCTCGAGCATCAAGACGAGCTGGAATGAAGTTACTCCCGACAGTTTTTGCTGCAACCATTTTGAGGAACTAAGAAAAGGAGAGAATTAAAAGAAATATACCTCGAGAAGTTCCTCGGTTACGGGGACGTCTTGGACGATCATCATCACTGTTGACTAATTCCTCCAGATGTGGATTTGCTCGCTTTCGTCGAGGTAGAACTTCTTGGACGTTCTGGTTCTCTTGCTCGACTTCGTCTCGAAGAATCTTGTTCTCACCGCCATCTTCACTCTGCTCGCCATTGGCACCAACAGGGTCGACATTCTCATGGCCATCATCTTCGTCATCATTGTTGCCTCTTGCAGCCTCATGGTGGGTTGGTTCATAATCTGGCATCTCCAATGCCCAAGGACAAGTGCGCTTTATTGTTGCTGGAAACTTCATTGTTGTTGGGTACATGCCTCCATCTCTCACACCATGCCTCAGGAGGCGTGTGCATACCGGTGTTTCGAGAGGAACGCCTTTATATTGGAGATACCTATAATAGAATATAAATAATTGAGTATAGTTGAGAAATTGTATGTTACCTAAAAGCCGCTTGACACATGAAGTAAGGTTGGCCAAGTTGTTCATCAAATGGAGTCGTGCTTGTGGCCTTCTTTGGCAGCCAGTCCTCTCCAAGTTTTGTAAGCTCAATGGTGATGAAGTCCTTAAATGGAAGTTGCTCAGGATCATCCCTTATGAAAGGCGCTAGAAACATCTCCCCTTCATATACAGTTTATGAAATGTAGACGGTCCTCCTCATCACAGTCTCCATCATACTGTCCAAACCTTTTTCTCCTTCCCTGAGTCTGCTATTGAGGTCGTTCAGAATGTGTATCTGTTCCTCATATGTAAGCTTTGACTTTGAGATGCTGTAAATAATCTCATCTGGAGTCTTGCCCACTGAAAAATAACTTTTGTGAGAACCTTCATGTAAATATAAACAATACTTACTTTCATGACAAGCAATCTCTGTTATAATATCAAACCACTCCTTTGGGCGTCGAGGGTCAGCCACACTAAGTAATTTCTTTACATTTGTCTTCTTTGTGCTGTTGATTTTCTTGTCAATTGCAGCTAAATGCTCTGAGAGTTCTTGATCACTTTCCGCTCGATGCGACTGTGCGTATGCATCTTGCTTAACTTTCACCAATGGCTGAAGACAACACAAACATTTTATGATAAGAAGTATACTTGAAAGAACATACCTTACTCCACACAGCTGTCATAAAAGCCACTGGATTCTTGTACCATCTATTGGCATCCTGACGACCTCGTTGATGTCGAATAAGTGATGCTAAATCATCACCATAGTGGCTGCGGACTGCATCCTCGTCGAGATTGGCAAGAAACCGGATCTGCTCGATGTCATGTACTAGGCTTTGTTTCTGCATTGCAAACTATCCCAGTCTGCAAAACACAAATTGTTAAAAGTGATTGAAGAGGGAGAGGTACTTACGCATTAATTTTGTGGCAAGCTATTACAAGCCTTGCCACATCTAGAGATCCTCTCGCATGTATATGTCCAACCGGAACATTGATGTGATAGACAGGATCGTCTCGGAAGCATTCTCGGATGCACTTCATCCACGCGCACCAGCGATGATTCCCGTCGATAATGTAGAACATTTTCCCCACAAATTGTTGAGTCTTAGGATGGCTCATAAGCTTGTTGTCAAATTCGCGGGACTTCATTTTCCAAATGTCATCCCAATCCCTCTCGATTTCCGATGACACCGAGAGGGTATTTGTCGTTCCTGGCTTGAAAACCGAAACAAGGAACATACCTATGTTTGTCCCAAGGCCATTCTGTTTGTACAGACTATAGATGTCCATGTTGACGAAGTGCGGTGAAGCAGACCGAACGATGCTTGTCTGAGTGAATCGACATAGTGGGATTTCTTGGATCATGTGCCCCGGGCCTTCCCACTTGAGAGACTCCAGAGTCGTGTGAATGGCCTTCTCTTTAGTTCTCAAAACTGTCTCTTGGAAGAGCTTGTCGACAATGTGTTCAGGTAGCTCCACTTCTCTTTCAGCTTCAGCTACACCTCCAGTAGCACCATTATCAGATCTAGCCCCCGACTCGGGCCCAACACCACCATCAGGCGCACTTGGGCACTGCTCCGTTTCTGCCATATTTTGTGAATATGTTAAGAGTAGTGGCATTTGTGGTTGTGGCAGCAATGGTAGTGATGACAATGGTTGCACTGGTGGTGGTGATGATGGTGGCGGTGGTGGTGGTAATGGTGGTGATGATGGTGGTGGTGGTAATGGTGGTGATGACGGTGGTGGTAATGGTGGTGATGAAGGTAAAGGTGGCGGTGGCGGTAATGGTGGTGGCGGTGGTGGCGGTGGTAATGGTGGTGGTGGCATCGATGGCAGTGGTGGGGGTGCATGTGGACTGGAGCTATGTGGTTGGGAAGATGGTAGAGTTGTCGCTGTGGAAATCTCTATCTGAAGGTCAACTTGATTGTCATCCTGGATCTCATCTTCCTCATGTCTTCTCTTTGATCCAACATCGCTCTCCTTTTGTAGTTGCTTTCGTTTCTGAAAATAAAAAAAACTCATTATAAATTATAAATGCATAAGAAGAGGGGAACAGGGCGTGGGCTCAATGCAGGCCTCCCCCAAGCACCTTGGCTGGCCCGCGCCAAGGCAACCCACCCGAGAACCTTGCCTTGGCGCTTGGAGGCAAGCCGGTTCGCTGGCGAACCGGCCCTCCTCCAAGCGCCAAGGCCGGCTTGCGGGCGGTTGGCCTTGGCGCTTGGTGCGGGCGCCGGTCTGCCTCCAAGTGCCAAGGCCCGCTCGGGCCAAATGCCCAGGCTGGGCACTTGGTGCGCACCGGCCTTGGCACTTGGAGGCGGGCTGGTTCGCTGGCGTACTGGCCCGCCTCCAAGCGCCAAGGCCGGCTCGCGGGCAGTTCGCCTTGGCGCTTGGTGCGGGCGCCGGTCCACCTCCAAGCGCCAAGGCCGGCTCGCGGGCAGTTCGCCTTGGCGCTTGGACTTAGCTGGCTCGCGCCACATGCCCAGCGTGGGCATTTGCCACAAGGCCAGCCGGGGGCACCTGTGTGGACTTGGCCGGCCCAGGTGGAGTGCCCAGCCAAATGCCCGGCCTGGGCACTTGGCAGCGGCGGTGCTGGGCAGCAGTGGCCCTAGGTAGCGTGGCGCTGGCGTGGCGTGGCGTGGCGTGGGCAATGCTGGGCAGCGGCGGCACAGCAGCGGCAGCATGGCAGTGGCGGTGCTGGGCAGCGGCGGCATGGCAGTGGCGATGCTGAGCATGGCATGGTATGCACGGCGTGGCGGCGCTGGGGCGGGGGCGCTGGGCGCGGCGGCGCTTGGCGTGGAGGAGAGGGAGTGGAGGAGGAGAAAAAACTTACCCTTGGCGGCATTCTGTTCCCGCAGTCACTCCCAATCTCCCACGATACTTTCTGTAAAACCCTAATGCCGGCGGCTGCCCTAACCCTAACCTAACTTTCATCACAGCCGTTCATCATGGATGCAGTAAATCTTCACTGTACAATAAATATTAATAAATCTAGCACTGTACAATTTCTATTCCGCCCTAGATTTGATCACGTGACAAAGTCCTTTTGAATTGTAATTTAATAATGGAGGTGTGCTCTAATATGACTATGTCATAATGTGAAATAATGTCACAGATGCATGTGTTGAATTGATCACAGTACGAAATTGTTAGAAAATATAAGATTATTAAATCGTAAGGTGTTATTTCCAAAGCAATGTATATAGATAATTTACTATAGGTGATAGATGGTAGTACAAAGATGGAATATATTTAAATGAGTTCAGAAGAATGTGATGATTTCTAGCTTTAATGAAGTACTGAAAATATGTACAATATTTAATTTATTTGGCAACAATTGGTTGATGGTAGATCCTAGAATAAAATCATTCCTATCTTTCATATTATGGCACATGCTTGAGGTGATATTTTTTTCCGTTCTACCAAAAGTTAGTGCATATAATAAATTTGAGTATGTTTTTGAATTCAATGTATATAGACTTTTAATATTGTACAACATAGTCCTATATACTTCATACAGAATTTATTATAACAACATTATTCGATGTTAGATCCTAGAATAAAATCGCCCTATCTTTTCATATAATGGCATAGCACATGTGAGATGACATTTCGTTATAAAAGTTTAGAGTTTCAAAACCTAAAGGCAACAAAATGGAGAGCTTCCTTTTGCATTACCAAGATCACCCACCGCTTTCTATCTCCCAGAGTCTTATTTCAGAAAGTTTTCTTTGCCGACATTTCGATCTTTCTCTCGGTTCTATTTCATTGGAAGCTGTGATTCGCAACAACATTGGTGTAGTTGAACGATCGGAGTTTCTTCTTTCGGGTGTAGGTGAAGGTGGACAACATTGGGATTTGCAACATTCCAAGTCGAAAGAGATTCGAGTTTTTGGATCTCCAATCAAAGTGCGAAGCTGTAATCCTGCTAAAGTGAATGTGAAGCAAGAGTCGGTCGTCATCATTTCTTCCTCTTCTAGTTCTAGTGGAGATGTTAGTCCAGTGCGAGCCAAGAATTTCCAAACTCCAACTTCACTGATATTCCAAGCTGTTTGCAATGCTTTCCAATTTTCCCGCCTCTCTATCAATGTTTGTTCCTTTCTACATAGGCCTGTTAGCGAGCTCCCATCTACATACAATGGCAATATCTTCTTTGAACTACCACCTCTTGTCAGCTCAAAACAAAAGGGGATGGAGACGAAGCAGGATGTCCACAACTAGTGCAAGATCAAAACCACACATTTCCAGCATTTCGAAGGCACAGTGTCCATGGTTCATTGTGGTGGGTATTTGGATTGTGTGAATAAAGCATGCAATCAAGAGCGCGGTAAAAACTCCATATTTTTTGAAGGATCCGCAACCAATCCTCCCCTCTGTGACACCATTGGTGTTGGATTCAAGTGTCGGTTTTGCAAGAATGCTCCATTGTGTCGTGCCATCTGCGGGGCCAAGATGTACTATTTTCTTCCACGGGATGGAGAGGTTGGTAGAGCTGCAGTACATATTGGCACGCACACACATCCAATGCAAGAAGGGATACAAAGGAGTTCAGTCAACCATTTCAAAGATGCAGTGTAGATAGAGACTGTGGGAAACTCATCTGCAACTCCGAAGCATGTTCAGAAGACAGTGCTCAAGGATTTTATCGCAAATACTTTACTTGATCCGGACTACAAGAATACTCAACTGGATGAGGCTAGCTTGCGGGAGTTACTACGACATGTGCAACCTGCAACTAGCCTCAGGAGGTATGAAAATATTATTACATACTTTTCAATAATATCTCTCTTACATTTTGTTTTATTTAGGATAAAGTCTTGGATGTGTGAATCTCGAGAGGGGAAACTCCAATAAAAAATTGACTCAATCCTTGAACTAAAACGGACTTGTCCCTATGAGTTTATCCATGGGAGTTTATTTCCAGATCAAGTCGTTAGTGAGCAAGAGCACCCCTTCGTTTTCAAAATGTCTACCATGGGCCCTGCCTCTGGTGTGGATCTTATTTCCCAAATGGATATGTCTGGGTCGAGTGACCTTGCTAATGCATGGGTACATTTTGACCATATGGAGCGGGTGGCAGGTTGGACAACCATGGGAGCTCATGTGTATGATCCAAGGTAGTTTTTTTTCTCATTATCTTAAAATGATTTTAAACATTGCACTTTTCACAGGCTA